ATATAATATGATATAAACATACATGATTACACTCATTAAGATGTATTAATATGAAAAGTAAATAATTAATGACAAATTTTGTAACCGAAAATGGAGGGAAAAAATTAGAGGTTTTATTAAATGTTTTATTAAATGTTACATGCCAGCAATTATATATATATAGATGATATGGTGCACTCAAAATTCGGGTTTTCTTCAATTCAATTTTTAAATTGCAGATGGTTTAATTGTAACAAGTGATGTATATAAATTTGGACATGTTTAACACTAATTATCCCTTAAATTAAGAATTTTATTACGTTTAAAAATACAAAATTTAAACTTTTAAGGTAGATTTTATTATGCACGTGCGATGAAATATTTAATCTCTTTAAAATAAGTATTTGGTTCAGTTTGAAATTTAAAAAACCCACACAATCACTAACACTAATAATCCCTTAAAATAAGTATGCTAATCTTAAAAAAAAGGACTTTAAAGGTATAATTTATTATGCACGTTTTTCAGCAAATTTAATCTTCATAAAATGAGTACTTGGATATTTGAAATTTAACAAACTCTATCAATCACACGACTTACAAATTTAAAATTCTTAAGATGAGGGATTTGATTAAATTTCAAATTCAAAATCTTGCATAAAATAATGATTTGACATGTTTTATGCGTAAAAATTAAGTTAGGCAACCCAATATTTTCAAAATCTTGAAATATCTTACTATATATTATGCTAAATATTTTAATACATTAAAATACCCATATGTACTATCTCAATATATATATATATATATATATATATGTGCATCAATGATTTATTTTCGTAGATACTGTTTGCACATCGAGGTAAGTTTTATGTATTTTGTATCCATAACTCTCTCAAATTAATCACAACATCTTACTTTTGGTCAAAGCATTCAATTTTATAGGCAGCAACAACAACAAAATTTAAATTTGTCTTATGAGTGCAATGTAAAGTTTAGAGGTTCTCATATGAAAAATTTTAAATAATAAGTTTTTTGATAAAAGTTTGTATTGCAACACAAAGTTTCTGATATTTTTTCGGAATAATTTTGCATGAATTATAAAATATTAAATGTTTAAGGTTATTTAAGGTTAATGTATTTTTCACTTATAATTTCTTACGCCACGACAATAAACAATAGTGAAGGTCAATATTTATTGCATTTCGGCTTGTGCTTAGAGAAAATGGAGTTCAGCAACGATCAACTGTATGTAGATCTTTCATGTGTCATAAATCGTGAAATTTTGAATATTTTAAGTTGTGACAATGTATAAAAAAACAAAATAAAAATTGTTGCGTACTAGAAGGTGTTTCATAATATATAAATAATAATTTATTTTATTGAATACATGTGTTTTACGTTCTAATTTATGACCAATCGTCCAACAATACAAATCTAACTTCCGTTAATAATACTAGCACGTGCATCACACTAGTATCCGCTAGTTTTTTTGTCCAAACTCTCTAACAAAATACTAAAGCGCGAAAAAAAAAAGCAGGGAGAAAAAACGCGCCACAACCTAATTCGAAGAAGCTCGAAGAAAAAA